TGATGATGAAAATGAAAATGATGATGAAGATGATGACGTGGCGGTGGTGGTGGTAATTATCATGAAAGTTGACCATAGTGATGATTATATGAATTGGTGAAAATACGATATGATGTGATGATTCATTTTTTTTATCATTCAGGTATTGTTGGTGATTGGAAGTGCACATTTACCGTCTCTCAGAGTGCAGCATATGATGAAATAATAAAGAATTATCTGAAAGGAACGGGACTAGTATTTGAGTATGAATAGGCAATATACAGTTTCGATGGCTAAAGCTCTCTATCCACACTATCAAAGTTAATTTGAAAAATAACTGTGAATTGCCCACAATGGGTTTTATATGAGATCAACCTGTCCATATATGGATATGATATGACATCATTATGTCCATATATGGATGTGATATATCATCATGCCCATGTTATGAGTTATTCACACAAAATTGTCACATGAAACATCTTAGTATGCCTAGAGCTTGGCGTCTGACGAGGTTTTCATGAACAAAGGTTCAGGACTACATAATGGAGTTGAAATATAATACTGTATTACATTTACAGTTATAGGCCTATTTTGAATGTTTTTAAAATTTATGTAAAAATAAGATATGTTTAAAAAAATATGTGAATGCCAGTAATTATATAAATATCACATTATAATTATGGAGACAATACTTAAATTATTACATAGAAGTCCATTTGTATTAGCACCATTAATATCTTGGGATTTTTAATGGCCTACATGGTTTCTTTGGGGTTTTTAGAAGGCAATTAATTACAGTTCAGACACTATCGTAGCAGAATTAGTTAACAGGTAGGAATAATTTGTTGTTGCATCAGAGTCTCATGAACTTTTCCGTTAAGCTGTGTCTCTTGGATACTGATGCTAAAAGTTCCATAAAAACATCAGCAAAAGCGTTAGTGGAACAGCAAGTGTGTTTGTGAAGTGTGACAATAACGTTCCTAGAACGGTTCCGATTGGCCATTTGTTAAGTTTGGTTGACACGACGGGAAGGTCCATCGTGTGGTCCATGAAGAGAGTTTGAATATGTGTAGATATATATTTTAATTATGTGAATGATTATCGTATTCGAACAGTAATTGGAAGGTCTTGGGTTCGGATCCGATAGGGAATAATGTTTATCTCAAATATTATTAACTGTATTTATTACCTGTGGAGTTGTATCTCCATACCTAATAACCCTCATGTTACTTACGATTATTTATTGCGTACTTCGCAATACATTGTGGAAAAATTCCTGGTAGGAAAAATTATATTGACATAACTCTGAAAACAAATTGTGTAAAAATTATTCTGCGATGGTTGAAATAAAGGTGGGATGCACCCACGAAAGACAAAAAAAAAAGAAAGAGAAAATATTCGTAGCGCCTCCCCCACACCGTCATCCCGCTGAAAAAAAAAAGAAAAAAGAAAAAAAGAGAACAAAATTGAGAAGAGTTAATGGGAGTTCAGTGGCGGATTCAGCAGTGGTCGAAAGGAGAGCTCTATTATTTTACCACTCACTGATTTTGAATTTTCTATTGATTTAGTACGAACACAACGTTATATCCCCGACGCCGATTTTTTCCAAGATGTAAAGAGGCCAAGAGACGGTGACCTAAGACTGAGTTTTTTTAGCCATTATTAGACGTTTGCATAATTCAAACGTCTAATTTCAACTTCTTGGAAAGACATTAACCCAACTGGCTATACTAATACCACACTAAGACTAACGTTGACCCGACGTTAAACAAAGTTTACACACTTTTTGAGAAAAATGTCGTCTTAACAATCTGTACTGGTTGGAGCAACGTCGATCCGACTTCAATATACAAGCAATGAAGGTATATTATGCATTTCGACAGATAGGTCGAGGAGAATTGTAATTTACATGACTCCGTGGTCTAATGGTTATGACACTCGCCTTGACAGCGAGAGGTCACAGGTTGGAATCCCGCCAGAGGAATTTTATTTCACCACAATTTCTTTATTCATTTATTTATAGGACTACATTCGTTGAGAGCTTTGCTACTCGATGTCTTATTATGTCCTTTATTCGAAAACTGTATTTACCTTTCTTTGATGATTTATATATATTATACATATTTGATCAAAGTCGACTCTGTTTATGTCGAAAATTCGCGTCAGTCGAATTCTTGAAAAAGTCCCAATTCTTTATTACTGTGTAAATTGTTTGTTTAATTCGAATTTTTATAAGTCTCGGCTATATCGACATAATTTTCAGGTCCGGATAGGCCGATTTTAAAGTAATTTCAACCTTTTTTGGCCCTTTAGTACTGTGTGCATAAATATTTCCTTTGTTTTAAACTAACGACCGATCGTCTATATGCATGCAGCAAGAGTAGAATTATTAGTAAAAACATAATGATTTAAGCAGGATAAGCCTAGTTTGTAGTAGGCCCATAATCACCATTTTCTATTACAGCGGTTAAACATAGGCTAATACAGTTCTGTGTCTTAACAACGGAACGCCGCCGGTGTCACGAAAATTTAGGTACAATCGAGAAATTAGGTACCATACCTAAATTCTCGTTTAAGCGAAAAGTTTGGGTTTGTCGATAAATTAAGTTCCACTCTTATTTTATGGCCCCTATTTGAAATTAACGACCAATCGTTACTAATGAGGTGAACTTGTATTTGGAACAAAAACCGTGAGAATAGTCTTGTTAATGCTTCATCGCATCCGCAAAGACTACAACGCTGACCTAATAGAGGAATTTAGCGATGGGCGTCGCGTGAACTAACTTGGGTGTTGGATATGAATAATCCACTGACACACCGGTGTTTAATGGAGATTTCTATTGTGGCCGTCCCTTGTGTATTGCTGTAAAGCTCCCCTGTAAACTATACCAAATTGATTGGAAACTTTTGCCTTAATGTTTTGCTAATGCTGTAAAGGTTACTGGCGGCAAACATTGAGATTTTTCGACAAATGTTAGGCCTATGCCTCTGCACATCTACGGCATGGTTTAGTTTAAGGTAAACATGATGGGCTTCGACCCACGAGCTATGCTGCGATGTTTGGGCCAGCGAAGGTTTATGAAGGATCACTAAAATTTTGAGGTATACAATCCAAGGAGAACGCTAGGATAAGTAAATAAACACTATTTTGAACAATCGTATCGCCTTTCCTAGCCATTTACCTCTCACACTAACAGTGGGTGGTTTTCGCAACCATAACATTGGGCATATTCAACTGGTTCATTTCTTTGACTACGAATTTTCGTTGAGTATTATTTTCATTCAACTGGTTCGTTAAATAAACTTTGTTGACAACAAAAATTAATGTAACCAGAGTGCCTTAATCTGTGTTAAGTTATAAAACAGACCAAAACAAACATGGCCGATTGGTCAGTTTAGAAAC